ACTTCTTATCCTGCAGATTCAATTTCCGCATCACTTCCTGAGATGCACCCAACCCATCTCCCTCCATCTGACAGCTCAAAGTCCCCTGTTAGTACTTGTATTTTCCCATGATAGCACTTTCCCCAATTGTAGTCAAGCCATTGTGTGTTTAGCTATCTAACTGTCATCTCCATAGTAACACTTTCCACAATCACAGTAAAACAAGTGTGTATTTAGTTGTCTGACAGCCTTCTCCCCCATTGTGGGCTCAGTGAAGGCAGTGTTGGTCTCTGTCCATCCTGTTTACTCATATACCCCCAGGAACTAATTAGAGATTGTCACCTAACAGGTACAGTAAATATTTGTTGAATGAATTCATGAATGAACAATTGAATTAATTATAAGAATACAAGTAATTAACATTCAAATGCCCTAGTAATCAATGCTTGCTTTTCTAAAGCAGGAGAATAAATCTCAATTGGCTAAGGCATTTCTTCCATCACACATTCATTCACTTGGCAAATGTTTATGGAACACGTACTAGGTGCTAGCCACTGTTCTAAGAGTAAGGTGTACAATGGTAGAGAAGACAGATCAAGTCTCTTCTTTTAGCAAAGGAGACAGTCAAAAAAAAAAAAGCCTAGTGAACAATTAATATACAATTTTAGACAGTAAAGCATAGGATGAGTATCCCTTATCTAAAACACTTGAGACCAGAAGTGTTTTAGATTTCAGATTTTTTTGGATTTTGGAATATTTGCATTATGCTTATTCATTAAACATCCCTAATTCAAAAATCCAAAAGCCAAAATGCTCCAATGAGTATTTCCTTTGAGCATCATATTGGTGCTCAAAAAGTTTTGGATTTTGGAGCATTTTGGATTTTGGATTTTCAGATTCGGGATACTCAACTTGTACTATGTTTAGTACCTTAGGTGGTAATGGGGTGGGGGTTAAATTACAAAAGGTGGAAAAAGAATTCTTCACTGTGCACCTATAGACAGCCTTGATGAGATCTAAATGATTCTGAAGAATTTCCAAAACAATCTCCTAGCTAGAAGGAGACCTTTAGAGGATGACTGGCCCCCAACACTTTTTTGGTCTTAAATCTCCACTTGCCTATAGCACAGGACTTACTTCAAGTCAGTGCACTGCCTCAGCTCTCCCACCACTGCCTGTTTTCCTTCTTCTTCACCCCTTCCCACCCCACCTCCCACCGCCCCCTCTTTCTGGACACTTTCTTTTTTTTTTGAGACAGTGTCTCGCTCTACTGTCCAGGCTAGAGTGCTGTGGTATCAGCCTAACTCACAGCAAACTCAAATTCTTGGGCTCAGGCGGTCCTCCTGCCTCAACCTCTCGAGTAGCTGAGACCACAGGCATGCACCACCATACCCAGCTAATTTTTTTCTATTTTTAGTAGAGACGGGGTCTCGCTCTTGCTCAGGCTGCTCCTGAACTCATGAGCTCAAGTGATCCTCCCGCCTTGGCCTCCCAGAGTGCTAGGATTACAGGCATGAGCCACCATGCCCAGCCTCTGGACACTTTCTCATAACCCGTCCTGACAGCTCTCAATTGGTCCCCTCCACATCTTGTTTGTTCCTACCTTTGTGCATGCAGTCTCCCCACCTAGAAGTCCCCTTCTCGGACAATTTACACCCTCTACTTCCTTAAGGGTCCCTCCCAAGAGGTTTTCCTTGAAAAACCTCTTGCTATAGATCACTGCCTTCCTTTATATTTAATTGTGGAATATTAACTCTCTTGGGGATCTTTAGGAACTTAACACTTATTTTACAGGTGGGACCCAGGGACAGACCTGGGCCAGAGACATTGTGACTTGCCAAAGGTCACATGGCTGATTATGGCCAACCTAAAGCCAAAATCTAGTTCAGTCCCCTCCAGCCAGACTATGTTTTAAATCCTTAATGTGTTGTATTTTTTTTTATTCTAGGTTTTGCTTTGTGTCCTAACAAAATGGTAAGTTGCTTGAAGGCAGTTACCTTCTTTTGTTTCTGAATCCTGCAAAGCATTTAGTATAGTCCTTTGAGCACAAGGAACCTAGTGTCCATCTATTTGTTTGTTTGTCTGTTACTGCATTCAGAAAAGACCAAAACAGATTTTCACCAATTTAGAAAGTATGTTTGGGATGACATTAACTAAAATACAGGCCATATGGCATTCATAAAAGCCACATTGGGGGACTGAGGGGACCATTTCAAAGTAACAGGCAGCCTCCCTGCAGAGCACCCCAGGATCCTTCCCAGAAGGGAGACAAGCTACAGACAAAGGAAACAAACAGTTTCATACATGAGCCCCCAAGCCAAAGTCACAAAGGCAGATGCAAGCAGTGATTTGCAATGGAGCTGCCATTCCCGTGGGCAGCTTCATGCTGTGTGCACCAAGAGCGCGAGGCATGTTGTTTTTCTTTACAGGGTGAATGATTCTCCCAAACTACCCCAGATCCACAAACTAATCAGGTAAGATAAAATACGACCTTACAACTCTGACATGCCTTACAATGTATAAAGCACTTAAACTGAAGGCTTGCTGAACAAATACAGTGCAACCATCTGTATACCATAGTTCTCTTTTTTCCCCTTCTCAATGAAAGAGTACATATCTGTGACTTCTAAGAGAACTGCTTTAACAACTGTGGATAACACTTCTACTACAGAGGGCCCAAGACATCTTTAAAACTCATGAATGGTAAGGAGTCCCAACTGTATGTGGCTCTGGCTTATTTCTTATTTTATGGGGTCCACTTAGGCGCATTTCCATTTAGATAGAAAATTTCCACTAAAGGTAGGAAAACTAAAAATACTTCTTATATTAATATATTAAAGGACAACTGATTCAGAGGTCTCCATAAACAGTCTACTTTCCCTCCCAACACTCCTGTCTTTGTGAAGTGATAATATTGGTTTGCTCTCACTGTCACCAGTTGAAACAAAAGCACATGACTGATTCTCACTTTAACAGCTGAATTAACCATCTGCAACGTCCCTGAAAGCCATAAGTGGGCCTCATGTTAAATGAATCAACTTCAGTCAACAGCAGGAGATAGTGGTGGCAAGAAATGGTGGCAGGAAATGACTCCTTAATCACATTGTAAATTGACTGCAAAATTGAAAAATAGTATAAGGACCTGTTTAAGAAGTCACAAAAACACTGCGATGGCTACTATTACAGACGCCTTCTCATCTGAAAGTAAACAAATATATTATACTTCCATCACAGACCAGACACCAAATCTGTTACATAACAGCGTATTATAAGAAGCAACCAGATTAGCTATATGAGTCCCTTTTCCATAAATTTTCTCTAGATTGTATCTGCATTTTCTGTGTGTAAACAAAATGCTTCATGCACTCAGCCTAGAAACACTAAAAAAATGCACGTACACTCCTAAATCTATACACTGAAAATACTCTTTCATACAGATATCAGGCATTTTAAGCCTTTTTTGCCTCAACTGACTAGGCTGAAAGCAATCATATTTTACTGTAAAACGGATGGCAAGCACATGCTGTAGAAGGTGGCTGGTTTAGGTCATGGTCTCTCAGCTTCAGCACTACTGACATTTAGGGCTGGATAATTTTTTGCTGTGGGGGCTGTTCTGGGCATTGTAAAATGTTCAGCCACATCCTTGGCCACAACCCACGAAATGAAAGCAGTGTTCCCATCCCACCCCCCACGCCAGTCATGACAATCAAAAATTTCCCCAGACTTTTGTCCTGGCAAGGCAAAATCACCTCTACTTAAAAACCACTTATTTAGGTTGAAATACAGATTGCCTTGTGGCAATGAGATGTCAGGACTCCTGATAGTGTTTTAAAATTTTTCTAGTTGTGGCACTTATGGAAAATGAGAATTTTTGTATAGCCTACTAAAATCAACAAATCTACTCAAGGCTGGAGAAGACCAGTCTAGAAGCTCCATCCCTGCCCATCTGCTCAAGGGTTGAGAGTCTCGGTTTGGCACAGTTTGGTAACCCACCCAGCCAAGACAGAAAAGCTGAGAAGTCCAGCCCTGTGGGACTAGACCCTCAGCTACCTCTGCTCTGCCCACCACCTTCCCGCTGTGCATGGTCCGTCTCCAGCTTACTGTCCAAGCTTTGTCTGCAGCCTCCAACTCGACTCTCTGTTCTCCTCACTTTCCAAGTTGGCAGCAACAAGCTAATAGGTTACCAGGCCAAATAAGTACCAAGGCAGTAAATAGATAAGGTCCCTGGCAAACCCTGAAGAGTAGAGCTCTTCTCTCATGAGGCCTCTGAGGTGTTTTTCAACAGTGACCCTGGAAGACTGCCTGTATGATGTGAATAAATCTCACCTAACTGAGCCAGCACCAGTGAAGAAGAAACTCAATAGTTGCCATAAACTGCAAGTAATAATATCAACGTTTTGGTCGAAGAAACTCAAAAAAAAGAATTGGAACTCCTCCTATAAAGGGGAACAAAACAGTAGTAACAGAAGCAACAAGTAGCAAGAGGAATAAATGAACAGAACCCCCAGCCCTCCTGGTGGGATTGAAAGCCAAATTTTTAAATTTCATTTTAAGTTTTCAATTTTTATCTTTAAGTAGACCTGGCCTTCAAATCTCCGGGCCAGGTCTGAGGACTGAGACCTACATCATATTGCTAAAATCAAGGGTGGGCCCCATGAAAAGCCATCTTGTTATTTCTGGTCACGTGTTAACTTTAGCATCACATCATGAACAAGTATGAAAAGGCTACGCATGTCTAGTACAAACAATTTCTTTAGACAGTATTTGAAGAAAGTGGGGAGAGGGGTATGGTTGGGCATGGTGGTTAGCCTATAAAAGAATGAGAAATGAGATGGAAAAGATTTTTAAAAGATATCTTGCCTAATAATGGAAGGTAAATAGGTAGCAAAAAATAGCTGAAAGTTAATGAAACAGGAGTTGCTTTCTTCAAAAATGGACACTTTTTAAAAAATAAACAAAGTATGCAGGTAAAACAAAGAAAAAGTCACCTGCTTATAACAGAAATAGATTGGACCAATTACCTAATTTACACAAGGTATCGCTGAGGCTGACGCTCAGCTGCTTCCTGATGAGCGAGGAGTTGGCCAGAGTGTCTGCATTTTCCTTTATTTTTATCACTTGTTTATAATATTCAATTACTTGCTTCCTTTGGGATCTAGAAAAGAGAAATTTAATTCAAATTTTGCATTGCAGAGGCGTGGCTTTCATTCATTCATTCACTCAACAAACATTCACTGAATGTTGGTGCTAGGACTGGGAAGCAAATATGGGTAAAAGTAATCCTGGCCCTTAGGGAACTTCCTGAGGTAGGAGGGGAGATTGGAGGGTGAAGCAGGGTCCACCCAAGAAGGACCTTGTGTGCAAACCTAAGGGTCGGGCCTTTAATAATTGGAGAGTTTTCATTAAGAGAATGATGTAATCAAATTTACATTTGAGAAAAATCTGCCAGCATAGACGCAGGGAGGACAAACCGAAGTAGGTGAGGCTATAGGCAGGGGACTAGTTAGTCCAGAGGAAGAACAAACGATGACGGTCTGAGCTGATGCAGTGGCCACGGATGTGAAGAGAGACCTGCTAAGACTTGGCGCCACATTGGATGTGGTGGCGCTGATGCTGGGAGTGTTGCATAGAGTGACGTGATTAAGCACTCAGGCTCTAACGCTGGGCAGATGTGGTAACGGGCACAGAGGCTTTTCGATCGGACTTCCCAGGTGCTAACGCTGGCTCTGCCACTTAAAAGCTGGGCAAGCATCTTAACTTCCTAAGTCTCAACTTTCTTATGTTCAAAATGGGGTAATAGGCCAGGTACGGTGGCTCATGCCTGTAATCTCAGCACTTTGAGAGGCCGAGTCGGGAGGATCTTAGGGCCAGGAGTTCAAGACCAGCCTGGAAAACATGGCGAGATTCCATCTTTACAAAAAAATTAAAATATTAGCCGGGTGTGGTGGTGCACACCTGTAGTCTCAGCTACTTGGGAGGCTGAGGCAGGAGGATCGCTTGAGCCCAGGAGTTTGAAGCTGCAGTGAGCTATGATCATGCCACTGCACTCCAGCCTGGGTGAAAGAGCAAGACCTTATCTAAAAAAAAAAAAGAAAAAAGAAAAAAGAAAATGAGGACAAGAGAGTTATGAGGATTAAATGAGAAAATAGATGGGATGTGTTTAGCACAGTGACTGATAACAAATATGGTTAAGATGTATCATTATATCATTGGTGTCTGTACTGAGTGAGATGAGAGAAGGAGCATTTACTCGGGCAGTGAGGGGTGGATGTGTCCAGTCTTGAGCGCGTTGACCCTGGAATGCCAGTGGAACACTCAAATGCAGATGTCCGATAGGCAGATGGAGGCACCTGTCTGTAGCTGACAATAAATACAGGCCCAGGAAGGAGATGGAGACAAGAAAACCTCACCTATGGACCAACAGCTGAAGCCCTGGGCACTGGAGGGGCTGAGGTGCTCAGACTGAGACGAGCATAGAGCCCAAAGGCAAGCTCAACAGGATGCCGATATTTGGGCAAGAGGCAGGGAGAGAAAGAGGAAGCCACAAAAGAGACTGAGACAGCATCATCAGAGAGGATATCCATGAGGGACAGTACTCAGAACTCAGGAGAGTACAGTTTCAGGAAGGACATGACCCACACTGTCAAATCCTTCAGAGGACAGGGCCGACAAGATAAAAATGCAAAGGGACACTTCGGGGATGTGTCTGATGACTTTCATAAGAGCAGACAAAATGGAGCCGGGTGGGGGAAGAAGTCCAAGGCCAGAAAGTGGGAAGTGAGGAAGTAAAGGAACTTGACTGTGAGGAGGACACTGATGAAAGGATGGCCACTGACAGATGGCCAAAAAGTTAAGAAAGAGTAGACAATAATCATTTCACTGAGAATGTTCGACCTCATCTGCCCAGCCCTACACACCCGGCTTCTGCAGGGCCCCCAGGTCCCCTGGATGATTTCTGTAGTGCATGAGCTCGGCCTCAGGAGCCCCGGCCACCAGGGCAAACGATCTACACAGGTTTGAGAGGTGAGTCGAGTTGCATGGCAAAATCTCTCCGGGTTTTAACCAGTGTGGAAGAGGCAGTCCCCTAAGGACAGCCTTCGACAAGGAGAAAGACTTCCCCATGGCTTCAGAAGGTTGACCACTGACGAGGCCTGGGCGGGAGGCATCCATGTATGGTCGGGTCCTCTGACATCGAGGCCGTCCCTGTGGAATGGCCCAGCGTTACTCAGTGTCCCGTGATTCATGCCCCACCAGCTCTGGATTTGGGGTGGGGCGGCCAGGCAGGAGAGATGACTCAGTCAGCATGCCACGTGTTTAGATTTTTCTTTTGCGAGGCAATCAGTTCTACGGTCAAGCTTTTTGCTTCTCTAAAGAAAGTCCTGTTCTCTGCTCACAGGGCTGGTCTTAAGATGAGTAAGAGGAGGCTTATGTGGTCTCAAGTGCCTGGGGTATCAAAATCACCTGCCAAGGAGCCAAATAATACTACTGACTCAATTTATTGAACTCCTTTGGTGTGTGCCAGGCATTCCGTTAAACTCTTTACATAGAGGGTCTCTCTTTTTTTTTTTTTCCATTTACATATTTTTATTTGGAAATCTTTGTATCACTACAGTGAAACTAGATTTTAAACACGGGATGTCAGCAGTTTAGACATCATTAGTTTATTATAAAAGAGAGACATGGAAATTATTTACATGATGAAGGATTTCAGAACTTCAGTGGAATGAGCTTCATGTCAATGCCATTTCAATAGTGATTTATTTCAGTCTACGTACTTTCCAAGAATGTCACCATCTCTAAATAAGAAATAATCCTTGTCATCTAGAACTACTTTGGTGCCTCCATATTCTGGGAGAAGGACTTTATCTCCAACTTTCACACTAACTGGTTGAATCTCTCCACCCTTTCCTTTAGAGTCCGATCCAACAGCCACTACTGTTGCTTGCAACACTTTTCTTTGAGATTTTTCTGGAAGCATAATGCCTCCTTTGGTTACAGTTTCGGCTGCACTCCTTTCAACCAATACTCGGTCAAAAAGCGGTAGGAACTTTCTAAATGCTTGTCCTGCCATGACTCCCGCCGCTGCAGCTCGTACCCTGCTCTCGTCATAGAGGGTCTCTTAATCCGCACGGTAATCCGGCAAGGAAGATACTCTTATTACTCTCATTTTACCAATGAGCAAGTGAATGAGATACCAAGATGTTAAGCACTTGCCCAACGTCTCACTGTTACTAAGTGGCAGGAACGAAATGTGGTCCCAGGCAATCAGACCTCAGAGCCCACCATCTCCCTACCACTACACGGCACCTGATGTTCTACCCTTAGATCCTCCCTGATTTGGGCCATTCTTTGAAAGGTGTTTACCTTTTGAGTACCTTCTAGAAAGGGTCAATACTGATTTGCACTTAAATGTTAGAGACTCTTGCAAAAGCCGAAGAGGTCACCTACCCGGTGAGAGGGAGATGATCTCGGGGAAAGTGGAAAACTGAAATGGAAAAGCAAGCCAGGGAACATAGAACGGAGGGAAAAGGAACTACAACAACAAAACTTGACAACTTCACAATTTAACCTAGAGTATCTCTGACCATTCAGTCAGCAGAATCTGCTACGAAAGGGTGGAAGCTGGGCCAAAGGAAGGCTGTGCACGGCTCCCTGTGGATTCACAAAGAACCTTCTCCCATCCCAACCTGCCAAGAGAAGTGGTCAGCCCTGGCAGGTGCTCACACTAAGTAGATCCAGAGGGTAATACCTACAACCCTCTTTTAAGCTGAGATGTCTCTTGTGGGGAGCTGAGGAGAACCCCACGTATTGCAAGAGAACAAGAGGGCTCTTTGAGCAACGAGGGGCAGCAGGTGAGCACAACCTGAGGCATTGCAGGCTCTGGCCTAAGTCTTGTGAAGAGACAGACCAGGGCAGTGTGGGACCAGAAACAACGGCCATGGCGGAGGCCTGCATAGAGCCCTGAAGAAAGTGCATCTTCCTCGCAAGGCCTGTGAGTGACATTGGTAACATTCATGACAACGTCATGCTCCTTTGTTCTTTCCCTACTGCCAAAACCTCTACACCACTCATGGGCCAAGAGCTCCTTCTGAATACACGATGGCCAGTGTCCTGACAAACAGATGGGGACAGAAGTCTCAGGCAGGGTGAGTCCCCCAGCTCTCTGAGCCAGGCTGGAGACAGAGAAGTATCACCAGAGTTACTCCTAATGGGTAACCCCAGACCTCCCTCCACTGGTGGAGTTTTTTGGGAGGCAAGCGTGGGGAGGGGAGACACATTTCTTGAAACATTTCATAAAAACTTACATTTCGCTATCTCCTGGAAGGAAAAATAGTAAATCTGCTAAAAATTCCATAATTTCTCCAACTAGCATGTTTTTCTCGCTAAACAAGGCTCTCCTGATATTTAAGCACTCCTGAAGTTTCGTTTTTGCAAGAGAAGTGTCTCCGGCAACGAACCTGAAAATAAAACACATGTGTTATTTATGGAGCATGTTGGCTACATTCATTGTGCTATCAAAAATAATTCTTATAAAATATCCTTTATTTTGTGTAAAAATCTGTCCTTGAAGCTATAAAAAAGAGCAATTTATAATAGTAAAGATGCAAGAATTTTGATGTGATTTATAAGAAGACAGCGCACACATCTTTATAAAGCAACTACAGCACTCTTCAATCTCAGCACGATTGACATTTGGGCTGGATAATTCTTTGTTGTAGGCGGCCGTCCTGTGCATTGTGTAATGTTTAGCATCACCCCTGGCCTCCACCTACTAGATGCCAATAACAATTCCTCCAGTTATGACAATGACAATGTCCCCAGACGTTGCCAAAAGTCCCCTGGGTGGAGAGGGGTCCAAAACTGCCCCTAATTGAGAACCACTAAGCAATAGAATGGAAATGCAAAAGATGACCATTTTTTAACCAAATCAGTTAGGTGGGTAGTAGATTAACAGGTGTGAGTTAAGCATATTAATTATAATAATAAAAGCTAGTACAGAAAACAAAAAAAAATTTTTAAAAACCGTATGTTTACATCAGAACACCTTCGATGTATTTCATTGTAGCTTGATCACGGGGATTGTTGTCCAATAACTTGGAAACTTCAGTAGCATATCCCAAAATGTCATTTTCTTTTAAGTATTCCTCAGACGCTGACTTTGCCAGGTTATACAGCACTCTGACTGCAGGGAATAAATTTTGGCAAAGAATAGGATGCTTAAGGTTGTTTCGATGAAAGAGTTAAGATGTCCATATACATTAGCTTTAATATCATTTCTTCATCACTGCCGATAGCCAGGTTTTTTCTTAATAAATCAACTATTGACCTACCCTGCATGGGGCTTAGTTTTCATATAAAGCTTTTGTCTGTGCACAGCAGTTACAGGGTCAAGGAGCCAAGACAATAGATTGAAACTGAATTCTGAGTCTGTTTTGCCAATAAACAGGTCAGAAATTGAGTGAGAATATGAAGGTGGTGAAGCCGGTCATCACCATGGCAACTGAGTTCTACAGAAGGCAGCCAGTGGGTCCTGTAATAAGATACAATAAAATGATGCAGCCTTATAACAAGAACACATGAGTAAGTCCCACAAGCCCAATTAATAAATAATGGGCTGCGGCCAGGTGTGGTGGCTCGGTACCTGCAATCCAAGAACTCTGGGAGTCCGAGGCAGGAGGATCACTTGAGCTTTGGAGTTCGAGACCAGCCTGAGCAAGAGTGAGACCCCAGTCTCTACTAAAAACACAGAAAAATTAGCCGGGCGCGGTGGCACATGCCTGTAGTCCCAGCTGCTCAGAAGGCTGAGGCAGGAAGATCATTTGAGCCCAGGAGTATGAGGTTGCTGTGAGCTATGATGATGCCACTGCACTCTAGCCCGGGCAACAGAGTGAGATTCTGTTTCAATCAATCGATCATTCAATAACGGGTTGTACCTAGATACGCCACACTGCCTTGGGGATGTACTCTTTGCAAAAGCCTAGCAATTTTGTTCCTTTATTTAGAGTTATATATTTTGACAATAATACAGACTCCTAAAAAGTAAAAAGCGTTTCTTAAACCATACTCTGTTACAGGAAGAGAAAGAAGTATGATAATTGTTTGGGCTGAATTGAGGTCCCTCAAAATTTATATGTTGAAGCCCTCAATGCTTGCACGTCAGAATGTGACTGTATTTGCAGACAGGGTCTTTAGAGTGGTGATTAGGTTAAAATGAGGTCATTAAGGTGGGATCTAACCCAAAAGGACTGGTGTCCTTATAAGCAAAGGAGTTTAGGGGAGGGACACACACACACACACACACGCACAGAAAAGACCATGTGAGGACACAAGGAGGAGGCGGCCATCTGCAAGCCAAGGGGAGAGGTCTCAGGAGAAACCAAACCTGCTGACACTTTGACCTTGGACTTCTAGCCTCCAAAAGTACAAGAAATAAGTTTCTATTGTTTAAGCCCCCTAGTCTGTGGTACATTGTTATGGCAGCTCTAGCAGACTAACACAATAATGTTCCGAGAAGGTGTTATTAGAGCATTGCTAGCAGCACAGAAAAGCCAAGTTAATGCCCTGTGCTATGAAATTCAGGCCTAATTAGGAAGGATTAGCACTAAGTTATCAAGAAGCACCTCTTACCATCATTAATGTATCTAATTCACTACCCAGTGCCCCCTGCACCCTTCCCTGCCCCCCACCCAGGGCCTCATGCCTTGTGCTTGGACATCAGGGCAGGACAGTCACATAACTGGTCTCCCTGTGTCCCTTCTTACCCACCATGTAATCCATTCTCCAGACGGCAGCAAAAGTGATCTTAAAACAGACATCAGAGGGTGTCCTCCCCACCCTGACTCCCTGCAATGGCTTCTCCTCCCACTCAGAATAAAATCCAAATGCCTGCCCGAGGCCCTGCACCATCAGGGTCTGGCTGCCTCCTGCCTTTGCTTGCTGAGGCTTCTTTCCATTCCCAGGACAGGCTTGGCCCTCCCCCACCTCTGCACATGCTCTTCCCTCTGCCAGGACTGCCCCCTCCCTCAACACTGTGGCTCCTGCAGTCCATTAGGTCTCAGCTTAAATGTCCTCTCCCCAAAGAGGCATACTGACCACCCTTTCACAAGTGCCCCCCACACACACTGACACTCCAACTCCACCTCTTGTTTGCATTTATGACATCGTGTAATCATTTCATGGGCTGGCTCACTTGGGTTTTGTGTGCCACCTCCCCTGGAGGGCAGAGTTGGTGTTTCTGTCTTGATCACTGTTCTGGACTCAGCACAGTGCCTGGTGCATAGCAGGTGCTCAGTAAACACGTCTTAAATGTGTGAACCCAGGCTGGAATCCTCACTTCCTCCCCTTCATCTTCTTGCTCAGGCCCTGAATCCCCACCTGACCCTTTCAGGGGACTAGAACTACAGGATGTTCCCACGGAGACTACCGCTAACAGCACTGATACTTCCCAGCATCCCATTCCACCAAGACCTCCACCTCACACCGCTGCCGATTTGGCCTCCTTGGGCTTAGCCCACTTGTCTATACCAAGCCAGTTTGCCTGGTCCCTTGGAACTCTACACTCTGGTCTGTCTGGCTGCCTCTGGAGGGCCAGGCCCAGGTCCCACAGAAGTGGCCCTGATTCCACCCTGGATTCCCCTGCTCACCAAGGCCCCAGCGTGCCTGTGACCAGGCCTGCCTACATCGGGACAACAACTCGGCAGCTAGACTCTGTATACCAAGGATTAGAGCTTCATAAATGACTAGAGGAGAATCTGTGCAGCAAGGAGTTACCCAGACAGCCTTTGGAGTCAGAGAGGCCTGGCTTGGACTCCCAGCTTCAGATTGACTAGCTGCAGGAGCTAAAGTGGTTTAGGTTATTTAATCTCTGACCTTCAGCTTCCTTATTTGTAAAAGAGGGGTAACAACACATACTGCATGGGGGATATTTGACGATAAAAGAGATCATCAGCATAAAGTGCCTTGGACATAGTAAGCATTCAACAAATGATAACTAACACTATAAAAGCGAATTTAGAGATGAGAACTCTAGAGAGGGTAAGTAGCTTGCCCAAGGTGATCTTTGAGCTTCTAGCCATGGTAGCAGATTGCAAAAACAGCTTCAAGTCTCCACACCAGCCGTACCCAACTCCCCCATGCGATGCTACTCTCTACCTCTCCCCATTGAGAGGTGAATAAAGCCTGGGGACTTGCTTTGACCAATCGAATGCAGTGGAAGGGGGTATTGTCCCAGTTGTGAGCCTAAGTCCAGACTTCTGCTCTCCCTCTTGGAATCCTGGGAGTGCCAAGTGAACAGGCCTGGGCTATCCTCCTGGAGGATGAGGAACACGTGGCCCAGCCACCCCCGTCATCTAAGTGTGGCCCTCTTAGGCCAGCCGGCCCCACCTGCCCTGCCAGCCAACCTCAGACACTTGCCTGAGCCATGCCCAAATCTGCTGAGCCCACCCTAGACCAGGATAACCCCTCAGCTGACCCATAGATTCATGGGCAAAAGTAAACGTCGCTTTAAGCCACAGAGTTTTGGAAGGGTTTGTTATGCGAAAAAGCTAACAGATACAGCCATGTTAAGTATGACAAAGTCTAGAGCCCTCAGTCTAACTATAAATCAATAGGTCAGAATTGCTCAATATCTTAGTTTACTGAAAATTCTTTGTCTCTGCTAAATCAGTGGTACCACAGCAGCCTCAGTCATCAAATGCTGGAGAATAAAATAATGACCACCATTCATCAGCGAGTACTTACCTACCTACCAGGCACCACTCAGTGTGCTTCCAGCCTCACAACAATATGGGATATAGATGTTATTTCATCCCTACCTTACCAATATGAAAGCTGTGACCCAGAAAGTATAAGTAATGTGTCTAAAGGCACAGAGAGCTAATAAGTGGAGACACGGGATTTAAACCCAGACAGGCTGGCTTCAGAGTCGAGCTCTGATGGCCCTCCCTCACTGCCTGAAGCCTCCTTCTCTGAGGCTCATCCTCATGGGCTATGACATTATAAAAGGGCGGACCAACAGAATGAGCAGTGCTTCATGTTCAACACTCATACACTACCAGCCCCCCAAACACACCAAGCCAACAAAGCACGCGTGTTCATTTCCCTTTTCTCCCAGAAGGGAATAGCCCAGGAGGAGTCCAGCTCTGTGCGACCCAAGAGGTCATCCCCTCTGCGTGTGTCGCCGTACCTTTCTGCTTCACCAAGTTCTGGCTGTCTTTTAAGTCACTGAGTGAAAAACACAGCAGGTTGGACCATGCTTTCTGGAAATACTGGAACCCTTGTTGAGCCATCCCAATTTCAAGGTACAGCTCTCCAGTGGCATTCTGTACTTTGAGAAGCATCTCCGTCATGGATGGGCTCTGCACAAACGGAAAAGGGAACCACTCCTGAGGGAGGACAGGTACAGACACCCACCCGGGAAGGGCTCACTCCATGATGAACTTGCGAAAGACTGTGTGCGTTACATCGTTTCTCGGGGAATTTTAAATATTTATAAAATAATGCTCATGGTGAAATATTTATTGGAAGACATTGCAAACGAAAAACATTTTTGGACAATGATTTCACAAGTTGTTAGTCAATGCTAATAAAAATTGTTGAAGACGAACACGACGGTGTCTTGCGTGTGTTAAAGGTCACAGAGGAGGCGGGATCCAGAATGCAAATGAACAGCCGGAGATGCTGCTTGAATTCAAATGTGACCACAGAGCCGCTAACTTTATGTTGGACACATTTTTGCTTAGAGACTTGAATATAAATTCCCCTTACATGTTTATTTCAGGATGTAGGAGCCAAGGAAAAACTTTCCCTTTGCCCTCTGAAGTTCTGTTGAAAAATCAACTGACAAAAGGCAGATTAATAGAAGGTCCAGACTTTAGGCAGATAAGGGAACTTCAAAGAACAACTACATCCTCTGCTTTGGGAGGTGGGGGACGGCCAGAGAGGCCTTGAGGCCTCTCGTTCAGTTCAGCACGTCAAAGCACCGTATCTTGGGGCACTGGGTCGCTGAGCCCCAACAAGGGTTACTTAACTTCATTAACTTAAACCACTCCTCTAGCAAAACCTTATCAAGGCATAGGAATATACCAGTTGATTACAGTCTTTTAAATGCCCAGCCCAAGAAAGGAGTTAGTGCTGAGTTTTCTTACTGTTAATATCTCACTTCAGAAAACTTAATATTAACAAGGACGTGGGGGAGGGAATGTGTTTGGTAACCAATAAGGCCCTATACAATGGGCGGCAGTATCATTGTTATTGGTTATGTGATACTTCATGCCATACCACAATGTTAGCCCAAGAAAGGATTGACTGAGCCTGGCTCCCTGGTGTGAATTTAAAGACTTTGACTCTTTCTACTCCCCTGCACCTACTGAAAGCATTCTTCCATATCAAACTGACCTTTCTGTAGCTTGACCCAGAGCTTTCCAACAGGGGTCCTGCAAGCAGATAATATCTGCTCTGAGATTCTGCTCAGCTCTGAAGGCAGCCAGGCCTGGTGTGGAACTCCTAGGTCTGCGGTTCTTCCCCGCATCCCTCAGGTGTATCTTTGAAAGCACCCCTCTCAGCAGCTATTCTAGATCTCAGCCCTGTGCTCACACTCCCATTCCTCCACTGCACAGATGGCCTCCATTCTGACTTTATGGAGACCAAATCTACCCTGAAAGATAGCCCGGGGCTATAGACATCCCACAATGGTCAAAGATTCCCTCTTCTTATTTCATTGCTTGACCTTGCCTGACCTCTGGGTATTCTCTAGGATACCACTTAGTCTAGAATGGCTGTTCCAACTCCAGCCATCATATTCACAATTCAACCAGAAGGAAGGAGAAGAGGTATTATACACTGAACATTTGTGTCCCCCTGAAGTTTGTATTGAAATTCTAGCCCCCAATGTGATGTTATTAGGAGGTGGGGCCTCAGGAGCTGATTAAGTCATGAGGGTGGAGCCCTCATAAGGGGGATTAGTGCCCTGATTAGAGATCCCAGAGAGCTAGCTAGCTCCTTCCGCCACACGAGGGGTAGTGAGAAGGCACTGTGAACCAGGAAGCGGCCCTCACCAGACATCAAATCTGCCGGTGCCTTGATCTTGGACCTTCCAGCCTCCAGAACTGTGAGAAATAAAGGTTTGTTGTTTAAGCCACCCAGTCCATGGTATTTGTTATAGCAGCTGAATGGACTAAGGGAAAGGGGAGAAGAAGGGCCCACCCTTCACTTCATGGGAGCTTCTCAGAAGTTATCCACCTCACTTCCATTGCATCCCACCAGCCAAAACGTAGGCACGTGCTCATATCTAGCTTCAGTGAAAGCAGGAAATGTATCTTTTCAAACAACCATTTGCTGGGCTAAAAATTAGAGGGGTGAGGGGATATTATTTACCATAAATGAAAGGGGGAACAGATACTGGGAGATTATAAAAAGTCTCTGCTATACCTCATTTACCCTCTTTTTCTTTACCCTCATCTTTGAAATTTCAAATTAGCAGTGTTTTCACCCTTTTCTTTTCTTTTCCCTCACGCCTATTCCAGAGGAAGGGATGCCAAACCTCCTTCCCAAGGACCCATCCCTGGTCCTGAGCTCTCAGGGTCCTCCTGCCCGCCTGGCTCCTCACAGAGTCCTCGCCAACATCTCCAGTCTCTCCCTCTCCCTGTTCATTTCCTGCTCCACACAAACACACATATCCTGGATCAAACTTGACCTGAACCTGCTCCTACCCCAACTTTTCCTCTTTCTCCCTTTACTGACAACTTCTCGAACAGGTATTAACATGTACTGCTTCTCCATCTCATTATCACACAGTCACCTCTTACAGCCCTGCATTTCAGCTCCTCCCACACGCCCCTGCCACCTCAGTGGTTACCACTCACCCCTACTCACCAGACCTAGGGGTCTTTTTCAGGCCTCATCTGTCCGGGCCAAACCTCTAGGCAGCATTTGATGCTGTTAGCCTCCTTGATTTTGGGGAAACTATGATATCCTGATTCTCCTCAAATCCCTCCCTCCTTCACAAGTTCTACTTTTACTTTTCTCCTCCTAAATATTAGCGATTGCCCCCACATCAGTTCCTATTATTATTGAGAGACCTCGCTTCCTTTTGTGGTTTCACCATTCACCTGTATGTAGATGCTTCCCTAATCTCCCTCCAGATTTCCCATCCTGGATTTCCCTCAGCTGGCTGGACACTCTACTTGGATATTTTTCCCGTACTGCAAGCTCAAAATGTCTAGGATTTATCATCTTCCTCTCCAAATCCACCTTCTTCTTCAGATTGCCCCTCTCTGTCAACCAGGCTCAAACTCTCAGGGCTTCTCCGAGTCCTCCGTGTATCACAGCCACGTTTCCAACCAGTCTGAGAGTGGGGCTGAAGCCCTGGGCAGAGGGCGCTGACAGCTGCTCAACCCACCGCCAGGCCACAGCGGTCCCACCACCTCTAAGTCCCACTGCCCACGCTGCAGGTGATAGTGATCGGTGTGTCAAATGTGGTCCGGTGTGGTCAGCTTCCTCTGTGTGAATGCGTGTCCTTTATTCCCCTCATCCTGCCCCAGGCTACCTACTCCTTGGGGGCAGAGACTCCACAATCCAAGCATGGAGCTCTGAGCTTCACAGGCATTCAGTAAGTATGTGCTGATGATAATCAATCGCAGTGATTGTAAAGCACAGATACAGTTTCGTTCTTAGGTCATGGGCCCGTACTAGCCACCACCTGCGGAGCGCTGACTAAGCTGCGCTCTTGCTGGGGGTGACCTCACTGCCTCCCTAGGAAGCAGGGCTTACTGCTTCTCTATTACAGGTGGGGAAACCAAGGCTCGGTGAGGTTAAATAAATCACCCAAGCTCACGTGGCTAACCCGTAGGAGAGCAAGGGGGTCCAACCCAATCTGCCTGTCTCCAAAACACTGCTCTGTATGTTTTCTTGACAAGTGAACCTCTGTTTCATGCATAAACAGAGGACTCTTCACAAACATATCATTTGGTTTTCCTGCTTCCTGGTACACCTGCTGTGAAATACTGAGGGGAGAGTAATGAGATCACTTTTTAATAAACATCTAAATCAGGGATTCTCAAGCTTAGTATTGTGGCATTTGAGGCAGGATAACCCCGTGCTGTGGGGGCTGTCTTGTGCACTATAGGATTTTAGCAGCACCCCTGGCCTCTACCCACCAGATGCCAGTAGCAACTTTCCTCCCAAATTGTGGCAACCCAAAATCCCTCCAGCATTGCCAAATGTTCTCTGGGGGACAAAATTGGCCCCCAGTTGAAAACCACTTCATTAAATTTTAAAACTACGTTATCTGAAGAAATTATAAAACCATATACAGAATATGTATGCCACAAATAACAAGATCTTCCCCCTCAAGAATGTTAGGCACATATTTCAAAGACATTGTTACTGCCCAAAATAGTTATAAAACTTCTCTTTTGGAAGTGCCTTCAGAGCCTGAAAAAATTCTTTTAATAGTCTTCATGGTGGCTAGTCCCAAAGAACTGTTGCAAAAATATTTTGAGGATAGAATCATAAGACTGATGCCTCTGGAAGGAGTCCTCTGAAGTGGGCAATTCTCTCAGGAGGCCTGAACTTCAGCATGCCTCCTACCAAGCCAGCCTCGCGCCTTCATGACCACGTATTTCAGGGGTTTGCTTCATGTCGAAGGAGCTGCAGAAGGTGGCAGTGACTTCCAGCTGGACTGGGAGCTCCACCAGGCCAGAAACCGGCCGGCTCATTTGCTGCTATCACCCCAACTCCCCGCACAGTGCTCAGGCCAGACAAGGCCCTCAGCGAATGCTAGCTGAGTGACAGAATGACACTACTCAGCGAATGACTGAATGACAGAGTGAATGACCACCATCAGGCATTCACTGGTTACCTAATAACTGGTGCTTTCCAGACAGGTGAATGTCAGCCATAGAAAATGTGGACCTCACGGGGAAAAAACCGGTGCAGGGGAAAACTCCACGATCATAATAGGAAACCACAGAATCAGTGGACTCTACTCCCTGAACAACGACAGAGTGGACAAAAGAGCTTAAATCAAACTCCTATATTTCTAAGCTAGGCCTCACTTACTTATAACCCAAGGACAGTAATAACAAAATAGCTACCAGCACTTAAGATCTCACTATGTACCAGATACTGCGTGAGGTGCTTTTATGGACTTTCTTTCTTGACCCTATTAACAGCCCCACGAGATACATTCTAGAATCCTCGAAAATGAGAACTCACAGAGGCACAGATTAAAATCCTCACCAAGATCGCACAAGCAGAATGTGGGTAAGAAGAATCTGTCAGTCTGAAAACATCCTCTCTTCACTACTGCGCGCTACCTTGTAAGGACATGGAGGAATTTCCAAGGTCAAATTGATTTACTGACTTATTTGTCTCATTTATTAAGCACCTACAGGCTATAATATGCCAAGGAGGAACAAAAATTGGCAAATAAACATGGTCTCTGCCATATAGGGACTTGCAATGTTGAGTCTCATAAATCTCTTTAGACAGAATTCCTCCCATAAAAATGTATATTGATGGGGGCAGGGGCAACGTTTTATGAAAATTTGAAGGTCTTTGTTTTAAAATAAAAACAGCTTTGTTTTGGGTTATACTACCCTAAGTCCATAAATTCTACTGAAATCAGTGAAAATTTATAATGTTTTCTTAAAAAAAATGGCAGTTAAATGTCTTCACAAGCATATGTATATTGTAAGTGAAGCTTTCCATTGTATCCAACAAAGCCAAAAGTTCGTATTTCAGAAAAGCAAATCAATATAGGGACAAGATAATCCATCAATCCTCCCCAACATTTTCATGAAAGTTATAACCAAGTCTCTGGCCAGTTTTTTATTAATTCATTTCAATCTATATATTTCCCTTTTTGCTTTATGAACATTTCTTTTTTCCCTAAAATGATACTTCTTAGTATGTATTCATCCCATAATGATTCCTATCTATTTACTGCTTGTTGTCATTAATGTATAATTTGGAACATAGGTTAAAATCATAGCTTCCTCATTGATAAACATAATCAATTGATTCCTCTATTGGACTAAGTTTTAAAGGAACACAGGTAAATGGTAGCTGAAAATATTAATACATAACACAAAAGGAAAAAAGTTTGAAGGATTTAAAATTTATTCTCACTTTACCTGCACTAACATGTCCTCAACAATCAAGAACAACTCTTCTGCTTCATTGGTCTTGCCCGTAAGTTTCAAAAAACTTCCAGTAAAGAATATTAATCGGCATTTGTCAGCGGCAGTAACCTCAAAAAGTCTGCATTCCAGCAGTAGAGTGCAAGGAAAAGTAAATAATCCTAAAGCATATGTGGAAAGGAACAAAAAGTACCCACTGCTTAATCTTGATACAGACGTTAAATACATTATCCATAGTTCAGTTTCTCTCTCAAGGGATCAGCACTTTGCTTTTATTAAGATTTACATATGATGCCAAGTATTTTTTTTTTTATTTTTTTTTTTGAGACAGAGTCTCACTCTCCTGCCTGGGCTAGAGTGCCATGGCATCACCCTAGCTCACAGCAACCTCAAACTCCTGGGCTCAAATGATCCTCCTGCCTCAGACTCCCGAGTAGCTGGGACTACAGGCACGCGCCACCATGCCCGGCTAATTTTTTCTATTTTTTTCAATGTTTTTCAGTTGTTCAGCTAATTTCTTTCTATTTTAGTAGAGACGGGGTCTTGCTCTTGCTCAGGCTGCTCTCGAACTCCTGAGGTCAAACAATCCACCCGCCTCGGCCTCCCAGAGTGGTAGGATTATAGGCATGAGCCACTGCGCCCGGCCAAGTATTTTAAACTCACATGAAAATCTTTGCATGTAAATTTTGAAAACTAGAGAGTCACAAAAGAGTATTTATATAACTAAATCCATGTATTGCTGTAATTTATGTTTTGGGGTTATTTTCAGGCAAAAAGAAAAAGGTATTTAAATTTCTTACACCATTCTGCCCTCTGTTGCAACTATCTTGAATTGCTGGCTTTAACAGAAAGAAAATGTTAAAAGAACAAAACAGAGAGTCATCATACCTGGTGTGTGTGTGTGTGTGTGTGTGTGTGTGTGTGTACAGTTATACCTTATACGCAAATGAAAACTTAGAATTCTTTTTTTTTTTTGAGAAAGGGTTTCACTCTGTTGCCCAAGCTGGAGTGCAGTGTTGGTATCATAGCTCACTGCAGCCTCAAACTCCTCGGCGCAAGCGATCCTCCTGCCTCAGCCTCCTGAGTAGCTGAGACTACAGGTGCACGCCACCATGCGTGGCTAATTTTTTTATTTTTTGTAGAGACAGGGTTTCACTATGTTGCCCAGGCTGGTCTCGAACTCCTAAGCTCAAGCAGTCCTCCCACCTTGGCCTCCCAGAGTGCTAGGATTATAGGCATGAGCCACCATACCTGGCCCTGAGAAAGCAATTTTCTCATTATGAAACAAATATGTGTATATTATAGAAAAACTGGACAATATAGAAAAGTACAAAGAAAAATAAAAACTACCCATAATTGCATCAAAGATAATTTCAGTTAACATATTGCTGTATTGACTCCTGATCTTTTCTGTGTACCCATACATACATACGTACACACACACACTCTTTGTAAAATTAAAATTGGAATCATCCTACACATAACGTTTAATATTTACTTTACTTATTTATTTTGAAACAGGGTCTTGCTCTGTCACCCAGGCTAGAGTGCAATGGTGCTATCATTGGTGCAATGGTGCAATGGTGCTATAGCTCATTGTAACCTTGAAGTCCCAAGCTCAAGCAAGCCTCCTGCCTCAGCCTCCCAAGTAGCTAAGACTACTGACACACACCACCGTGCCCAGCTAATTTTTTAAAAAAAATTTTGTAGCAATAGGGATCTCACTATTTTGCCCAGGCTGGTTTTGAACTCGTGGCCTCAAGCAATCCTCCCGCCTTGGCCTTCGAGAGTGCTAGTGTTACAGGCATGAGCCACTGCACCTGGTCTCATATTTTTTGGCTGAAGCCCTGGGCCACATAAAGGTGGAAAAAATCCATTTCTGGTGCTCACCGTGTTCAGTAAATGGTTGGAGAAATGAATTCACTAAAGAAGAAATACCAGATTTCATTGGTTCTAAGATGCATGCATTCTCAAAACTTAACATTTCTGAAATAGGGGTGCATCTTGCACCTTAGAGTTTATGAAAAACAGTATAAATTGTTAATAAATATTACAATATTCTGTTTCACTAGCTACTCAAAGAAATGCAAATTAAAAGGACAATAGGATGCTATTTTTTCAGGTGCCAAATTGGCAGTGATTTATTTGGGGGATGATTTTTAAAAATAATAATATTGATAAAGATGCGAGGAAATAAGTACTTTTACATGCTGCAGGTAAGAACTGACATCTTTCTGAGAAGCAATTTGGCAATATATATCAAAGCTTTAAAAATATTAATATGTCATGGTTTTTAAATTCTAAAAATCATTCTAAGGCAATACTCAGAGATGTTTAAAAAGATTTCTGCCAATAATCCTCATTTTATAACAGTGAAAAACTGACTAAATGGTAATCTAAAAAATGAAATATAATCCAGTCATAAATATGTAAATTCTCCAAGAATATTTAAGGATATGGAAAAATATTCACATTACATTTTTTTTTTTTTTGAGACAGATTCTCACTCTGTTGCCCAGGCTAGAGTGCTGTGACATCAGCCTAGCTCACTGCAACTGCAAACTCCTGGGCTCAAGAGATGCTCCTGCCTCAGCCTCCCGAGTAGCTGGGACTACAGGTATGTGCCACCATG